CATTTGTACGGATTTACACCCGTGTAGCCTAAAGAAATTTTTACACCCAGATCGCGCCTAAAGAAGTTTTACTTCAAAAAAATACTTTTGTTGTGGATTTTTAAACATTGTGATGGCTGATTTTACATTTTTTCCCTCTACTTTCAAATATTGTTGTTAAAATTTCCTAACATTGCTTGTTCTGAGATATCGGTGGTAGACCTTTTTACCCGCAGAACATTAAACCCGGTCTACCCTATATCTGAAATTTTACTTCTCATCTATATAATTAGAATTTAAATTTTATTATTTATTTTGAAAAGATTTTTTTGTATATATGAATGACGAAATGAAGTTTTGTGTATATGAATATGGGTGTTACATGGTTATAAACTTTTTAAAAAAATTTATTTCTTTAAAAAACTTAAAGAACTAAATGATTATATTAATATTTTTGCTAATTTATTATCTAGCTATCACTATCAAATCAATTGCAATCTTTCACGCCAACAATTATGTGCAAACTTGATGGACATATTGCGTTTTAAAACTTATATCTCCAATAATTATCAAAAATCACTAAATTGCTTTTATATCAGAAATTATTTGATGTCAATTATGTTTTAACATTCTGCCTTGTTATGTGACTATGATAGGTTGTTAATTTGCTAAGAGTTCACGCCTATTCATAATTGCAAGTAATTTTAAAAATAGCATGATATATAGTGTTATATGTAACATATCGCTATTAAATGAAGCATAATTTATGAACTACTTTTCTATACAATGTTGCACTGATTTGTTGAATTTATCTATAAATCTACTAAATGCTATATACAATACACGACAAACAACTTTGTAAAAATATAAGTATATTCATTCTTTGTCTGTCTTATATGAAATAAATTAAAATTTATGTTCTAGTTTCTGTAATTTTAGAGGATATTACGATTACAGATGACCATCTTAACAAAATTTAGAAACTTCACAAATTAAGTATCATGTGAGATCAATGAACACCGAATACACTACAAACAATGCAGAAATACTGATTATTTAAAAAATGAAAAATGCAAATATATTTTCTTCGCTTTCAATAAATTAATAAGTGCCATTTTTATCTTTTTTTCACGTTAATTACAATTTCATCGAGACATTTATTAATTGTTATTTTAGTTTTTACAAATCAATTAGAAGATAACCTAATGGTTACCCTCGCTAGTTGTGAATATATTCTTACATAATACAAATTACTATTTTAACTATCTATTTTCGGAGCCATTCTCAAAGAAATTAGTGTCTACAAGAATATATTGATTTCACTAAGGCTGTAAACTCAGTTTTAAACTCTGAACCTGGTAATTCCAAAGACAAGCTTGCCGCTACTAAATAGAAAATAATACTAAGCATTTTGTCGTCATACAATTTTAATAATATTTCTTTAGAAATTACATTTACATTTTATTTAAAGGATTGAATATGAAATTTCATATTCAGATATTTTCATAGCCCCCATTGATATTGCTGCAAATGTTAAAATATATCAATACAATATTTGCTGTAATTTGTTGTATGTCTGTTTATAGGGTTGGTATGGTTAAACGTGGAATAGATTGATTTTTTTCGTAAGAATTCGAAAAAAAAGGGATATTAACTAAATATAAAATAAAGCAGCAGCTACTCATTAGTCAATATATTCCAATGAAAACTAGTATTTGATTAAGCCACAATATGAATCCTCAATTGCATTTCAGGAAAGAAGGCTGTCCAACTACATTTGACAATTTAGTCAAAAATGTAATTAATGCTGAATTGTATGTTCACTCCGCCATGATGCTTGACAAAAAAAAATACAAACTAAATCATGCAAGCATAATTTTTTTAAAACCTCGCTAAATCGTTCGAATTTACAGAGCACGCATAATGACTATCCTCCTAGGGCGTCGAGAGCTAATTATCCGCTATCACGATATTAAAACAGAGCCGTGTAACGAATTAATAGAACCGGATCTATCCTATTGACTGTGCTTAATCTACACACTAGAGTTTCAAGTACAACATTATACATTGAACCTGTGCATACATAACTCGGCGATTGTTCTACGTTTCGGTTCGGCACCGTAACAATATGATCCCTATTAATATATTAGCAGCCGTAATCATTGTTAAAATTCTTCCACGGGCGGCTACAATGATGCGTTGTGTGTGCTCGAATTATATTATATTATAATATAATATAATCGCAGTCGTTGTATTAGCTTTACGATAAGCGAGAAGATAAATTAGCTCGAAAGCCGGTCTCGAAAATTAATAATGTATACATCATAAGTATAGTTAAAAACATTGATAGATTCATTTTGCAACTGCGCCTTAGAGCATAGATAGCATAGTTAAAAATATTATAAGCATAGTTAAAAACATTGTTGGATTCATTTTGCAACTGCGCCTTAGAGCATAGATAGCATTATAACAGAATTTAATATCACACGTTTCCAAATTGAGATAGATAATGAACTCTCCACACCAAAACCAATCCATTCTGGTGTTCCTCAAGGTAGTGTACTGAGTCCCATATTATATCTATTATTCACAAGTGAGATACCACTAGATTCTAACTAAGCACATATGTGATGACATTGAGATTTCTTCAAGTCACAAGGATGCATAAATAACCTATCTGACTAAACCTATCTGACTGAATTAGAATTTTCATCAAAGTCGACAAATCGCAACATCTTATCGTCTTATTAGCACACAACATACATATTTACGATTACTAATTGATATGAAAGGCGTTTAAAAATTTACTATTTATGAGCTTATTGAAGAGCTTAAATTTCTTCCACTGAACCTCTGGAACGTTTTTAAAACAATTCTTAGATATTGGCGACGAAATGGTTACAGTCGATAAAACTAGATGCCTCTAATTATCGATCGATTCTTGAATAAAAACACAGATTTTCAGGTATTATCACATTATAAAATGTTTTCCTCTCTGCATCCAGAAAGAGCAAAAAAAAAAAACAATTAGAAATTGAATTTAAAATAGTTTTTGAGAATGAACTAGGTGCAACACAAATATATGCCAAAGCTGTAAATTTTTTTACAAAGTTTTTGAATTTGCGCTTATTTGAAATTCAAATATGAATGTTCAGATTTTGCTTTGTAATTAAACAATTAATGATTTTATAAAAATCTATAATGAAACGCTATAAAAATATATCAAAACCATGAATATACAAATGTACTAATTCAATTTAAATGAAATCAGTTTCATACTGCCTACAATGACAATAAATTTGTCCCAAGAACATTTTATTTGGCATACATTGCAGTGGGTAAACCAAGCTCCATAGATTTTTTGTTATCTGACCTTTTAACTCACAATTATTGGTTTTACCTATATTAATATAATAAATAATTATGCAAATATTATAATGAGCTTTGTAAACTAAAAGTAAGAAATTATGATAATCAAAGATATTTTATTAAAGTATTATACGCTGAAATAAAAAAGTTATAAATTTGCATTATTCATAAATTTTATAATAAATATCTTCATTGTCATATTATCCCCATTTTTGATAAAGTTTAGTAAAATTTAATATAACAAATGACTTACCTAATCTTTTTTTTCTTGAGACATATTATGAGGTTACTATTGTAATATAGATTAATAGTAATAAATTTGCTATCCTAATAATAGTAGTTTATAGGAGAGTGATTTCAACTGCAATATATATATATATATATATATAATATATAAAGTTTATGTAGAAATATAATAATTAAATGCAAATTTTAGATTTTGATCAAATTTTATTCAGGTCTAATTTATATTTAATTATGGAAACTTATGCATTGCAAAATATTTTTTAAAGAAAGCTGTGTGTAATAATACAAATTCTATTTAAATAGTTCGGATATGTGATACAAAAATGTGATTCCTTATATGATTTTGTTCATAAATATATTACATTGTCCTTTAATTTATTTGATGTACCAGCGCCCTTTCTAATTCGCCCCGAAGCAATATATGACTACAATGTTATTCTATTGTCGAGAGTTTTCAATTACAAATCGCTGCAGTGTTTAATTTTAATTTGAAATCATCAATTGTTAATATTATAATCTTATATGTAAACATTTTATAAGGCTGTTCAAATTAGTTTTGCATACTTTGTATATATGAACATGTTGTGAAAGTGTATTGTTTAATTACTAAATACTAATTGTATGATGAATGCATTCAAATAATACGATCATGAATTTAGTTTGATCTACTAGATAAATATGGATATAATAGTAATATAATACATTTATGATATTGTAGGTTTATATACGCAAATCTTGAATTAAAAATATTTGTATAAGAAGACTCTACATATATATTTTAATTATAAAAATCTGCTGTATATTAATAAAAACCTAAATTTCATTAATAAAAATTGTTACGCGATTACGTATAATTTAAGTTAAGGTATAAATTATTTATAAGTATAAGAAAATGTAAAAGATGAAATAATACATTTATTAATTTTTCTAAACTATTTTTTTTATAATAGTATTCTATTGCAATAGTAATCAATAACCATCACGATAAATTTTTGGTGACAATATATAAAAAATTAAAATTATACATGCCTAGATACTTTAGGTACGTAGATGCCTAAATGCTTTAGCAAATAAGCTCAATAGTATATTCAAACTAGTATAAATTGGTACTTACATAATACATAATATATTATTTTTAGAATAACTTTACTGAACTTTTTCGAAAATGGGGATAATAATGAAAATATTTATCATAAAAACTTTTATGAAGCTGACTTATATAAAACGACCGTAATTTAGAAAAAAATGTAATATAATTTTATAAAAGTTTTCGATTTTATTGCTGAGGAATACGTTAACTATAATTAGTTGGCCCTAGTATGAATATTAGTATGAATGATGGTATTGTTTCTTTGTAAGATTACTGTGTATAAATGAAAATGACAAGGGTAGTGAATATAAAGATCTAGTGAATATAGAATATAGTAAATATAGAGACCAAAGGTGTAATTAGAGCTAGTATATTTATTTATTTATTTATAAGCAAGCCGTAATCAATAATAATAATAGATATTATTTCAGGCTCTTGTCTATATAAATGAAAAGATCAGTATTAATAGAGGCGGACTCATAAAAAATAAATAACATAAAAAATATTGATGTATAGTTTCAATAGTATACGTAAAATGTGTAAAAGGTTGTAAAATATTATTCACTCCATATGATTTATTAAAAAATATATAATGCTTTCTGTAATTTAGCCATATTGACGAACATCAAGAATAGAAGTGATGGTTGTAGATATCATAAAGAATATGCAAATCCTTTGCGCTCTTATTCATTATTCAAATAATTGAAGTAATCAGAAATACAAGAAGCTCTCTTAAAATTCCAATCTCATCAATTTAACAGCTCCATTATCATAGAGAAGGAAATGAAATTACAGTGAACTGCATAATGTAAATATGGCAAAATGATTTTTCCGTTATGACGTTTTAAAGCTCCCGCCCGCCCGATGTTCTGATTTGATAGCCCCCGCCTAATTTAATCCTTAGCTTCCTGCATGCGACGCTCGAAGCATTTCGCCTTGTTATAGCTTTTATGTTTATATTTTAAGTACAAAAGAGATTTTCATTTAGCATTAAACCGTACAGGAACAGGGCATTTTTCCATATAAAATGTCAAATGCTGACCTTTCTGTGAACTAATTAAAAACAAGTCGCAGCTCGGTTTTATGTTTAAATGAAATTTCACCCTCCTTTGCTTCGACTTTATTTTTATCTAGTCATAATGACTTTGGAAAATTGAACAGATGCATATACTTATAGTTTAGACTTCGAACCTGTCATTTTTTTACATAATTAGTTTTGAATAAATAATATATCTAATTATAATTCAATAACTAATAGTAAACAATGATTGAATTGTATTGCCCTACATGTAATCCAAATAACTTTGAAAAAAGTTAGAATATATAAGAAAATGCTTCCAATTTAAACAAAAAAAATTATAAACGATGAAAGAGCAATATGAGTTGCTGAGCAAGAAATAAGATAAGATCACATAGAGATCACCTAATAAAGGAATAGAGTTTGAAGTTAAATATCGTTAATACGCGCTGGATTGTTACTTTACTTAATATTTTAAATAATAGTATATATAATATTATTATCTGAATGAATTTTTATTAAAAAATATAGTGTTAATTTTATTTAAGTAGTAATAGTAATTTATGTAGCCTTTCATGTTCAAGCAACGATTGGCGTAATATTGACGATATATCGAAGCGCGTAAGCGCCGCGTCGCCGTCTAATGGACAAACTATAGAAATGTAAACCCATAGAAATGTCAACAATATTTATAGGTATTATTAAAATCTCCATAAAATATCTAATAATTTTATGTGCATATGTCTAATGATCATTTTTGCTTTCATGTGCATATGTCTAATGATTATTATTGGCACTTTTTACTTTGTATCTTTAGACCTGCTTTTGCCAAAAACTAATCAACACGTCTCCTTATTAATAGAAATCGAATGCTTTTTGAATAATTGAAATCAGTTGAACCGTGTTCCCGAAATCGTCGACGAAAATTTGTATCCGCTCACACACACGCACGCACACACACATACATACACACACTCGATCACACTCATACACACATTAAAGTTAATTATTCCGAAATATTACGTCGCATCAAACATGATGTCCCTGATGACAAGGTAAATACGACAGTAGAGAAAATAAACAAAACCAGAAATGGAGACTTGTTGATAACTATTTCTAAGAAAAGTGAGGACAAAGGCCAAGGACTGCAACAGATTATCGCAGGTGTGTTAAAGGATGAGGCCGAAGTTATTTATAAGGGGCACCAAGAAACTATAGAAATAAGGGATATTGATGATGAAACCTCAAAAATTGATATCCAGATAGCACTACAAAAAGCAACCGGGGGAGCCTGCAACACACCAGCAGAAGAAATTAGGCTTCGTAAGGCATATAGAGGTACCCAGATTGCTACTGTAGCTCTTCCAGCGGCAGTTGTACACGATCTGCTCAAAGCAAGTAGCAAAATACGAATTGGATGGGTCAACTGTCAAATTAAAATCATCAAGAAACCAATTCGATGTTTTAAATGCTGGCTATTCGGACATTATGGATCACAGTGCAAGAGCGAAGTGAATCGGACCAATCTATGCTTTAGATGTGGACAAGATGGTCACAAAATAGCCAACTGTATAAATGCAGCAAAATGTGCACTATGCGCTGAAAATGGAAACTCTGAAAATGTAGCACATCATGCCGGCACTCACAGATGTCCTCTATATAGGGAGGCCATAGAGAAAATAATGAACGCAAAAGCATGAAGATAATACAGCTAAACATGAATCATTGTGAGGCTGCACACGACTTGCTTATGCAGACGGTAAGAGATATAAAAATTGATGTTGCCCTCTTATCAGAACCTTACAAACATCTAACTGATTGGCCATGGGAAACGGACAGTACCACCAAAGCCGTTATTTGGTCCTGTGGCAAGTTTTGTTTCCAAATGTTGTTAACAATAGCAACGCAGGATTTGTCGCAGCATCATTAGATGGCATACATTTATACAGCTGTTACGCTCCACCTAGTCTTTCTTTGCCAGATTTTGTCGATTTTTTAGATCGTCTTGTGGAGGATGCAAAACGACACCACCCCGTAGCGATAGCCGGTGACTTTAACGCATGGGCGGTAGACTGGGGAAGTAGGAAGACTAATGCAAGAGGTAAAGCACTTTTGGAGGCCTTCAATGCACTTGACGTGGTTTTACTTAATAGTGGTGATAAACCAACCTTTGAAAAGGGCAGTGCAAGCTCAATAATAGACCTTACTTTTGTTAGCAATAGCCTCGTCAGAGGAATTTGCAATTGGGAGGTATTAGATATCTACACTGCTAGTGACCACAATGCAATCATCTGGGAAATATCAACAGATAGAAACATTAGAAGACATGCGAAAATATCTAAAGCCATTGGGTGGAAAATAAAATCTTTTGATGAAAGCGCCATGAGAGTTGCCTTAAATTGCAAACCTATAATTTCAGAACACGCAGATGAGCATACTAGAGAGCTGATGGAGAGAATAACCGAAGCCTGTGATATCAGTATGACTCGTAAACATGGCATAAATCAAAGACAATCTGTGCACTGGTGGACTGAAGAAATCAGCTCTCTTCGTAAAGAGTGCCTAAAGAAAAGAAGGATCTCTCAGCGTGGATTTAGTCTCAGTAATTCTGCACAACTGGTAGTGGAATATAAACAAGCACGTAGACAACTAAATAAAGCTATCAAAGATAGTAAAGTTAGGTGCTGGAAAGAACTTTTGGATGAAGTCGAGGAAAATCCATGGGGAAGACCTTATAAGACTGTAATGTCTCGCCTCAAAAGCCAGCCAATACCTTCACCAACTTGCCCACGACTATTGAATAAAATAGTAACTACTTTGTTTCCACGACAACCTAATTTGAACTACCAGGTAACACATGTAGAACAGAATAATATTCCACTTATAACACTGCAAGAACTGATGGAAGCTTGTCATCGCGTTGGTAATAGCAAGGCACCGGGATTAGATGGAATTCCTAATATTGCCTTGAAAACATCAATTATGACATCTCCGACAATGTTTCTTAATGCATATAATACATGCCTGAAAGAAGGGGTTTTTCCACGAAAATGGAAACAGCAAAGACTAGTGCTTATTCCCAAAGGAAAAAAACCACCAGATGAACCATCATCCTATCGTCCAATATGCATGCTGGATACAGCGGGTAAAATTTTTGAAAGAATAATTCACCAAAGAATAGATGCAGTAGTTGATCCAATCCTAGCAGACAATCAGTATGGTTTTCGCAAAGGGCGATCAACTATCGATGCTATAAACTTGGTAGTTAATACCGCCAAGGAGGCAATTGCTGGAACCAGATGGAAGGGGGGTTCCAAAAAGTACTGCCTTGTAGCTACATTGGATATAAAAAATGCTTTTAATTCTGCAAACTGGGATTGCATTATGAATGCACTCCGTGACAAGAACGTGCCAGCATACCTATGCAATATAGTCGCAAGCTACTTTACAGACAGAATTCTAATGTACCATTCAAGCGATGGTACAGAAGAATATAATATAACAGGAGGTGTGCCGCAGGGCTCTGTTCTAGGCCCTTTGCTGTGGAATATTATGTATGATGGCCTTTTGAGACTAGAGTTTCCAGAATGTGTGAAACTAGTAGCATATGCAGACGATGTTGCCATAGTGGTTGTCTCCAAACAAATTGATGACATCGTAAGCCTATTCGATATTACATTCAGAAAAATTAATCGGTGGATGGGAACAATGAATCTCCAATTAGCACAACAAAAAGTGAAGCTGTTCTTATCACTAGTAGGAAAAGAATTGAGACCATCAAGCTAAAGATAGGAAATCTTGAGATCACGTCAAAACCTCACATCTGTTACCTTGGCGTAATGCTTGATGCTCGTTTGAATTTCAATCAACAGGTGGAATACGTTAGTGCTAAGGCGTCAATAGTTAGGACGAAACTTGCTCGACTGATGCCTAATATTGGAGGTCCTAAACAAACCAGAAGGATATTACTATCGTCAGTTATTACTTCAGTGCTGACATATGGTATCTCCATATGGGGTGATGCTCTTAAATCTCAAAAATCGAGGAGAATGGCAGGGCCCTTATACCGTCTCAGTGCTATAAGAATTGCTTGCGCATTTCGCACAATATCGGCGGAAGCAGTGTGCGTCATTTCAGGAACTGTGCCTCTCTTAGTCTTAGCAGAGGAAAGACGGACAATTTACCATAGAAGACATCAACAACTGTGTACTGAAAAGTTAAGATTAGAAGAACGGCAGAACAGCATTGACCGATGGCAGCGACTGTGGGATGTCGCTGTAAAGGGCAGATGGACGCATCGTCTCATTCCTAACATCAAAGTCTGGCTAAGTCGCAAGCACGGCGAAGTAAACTATTATACTACGCAAATGCTATCGGGGCATGGCTGTTTTCGAGCCTACCTACACCGATTCAAGCACGATAGCTCGCCGGATTGCCCATATTGTTTGGGCGAAATCGAAGATGCTGAGCACGTGTTCTTCGTGTGCCCGCGATTTGGTGCTCTACGGGATGATGTGGAGGAGACATTGAGACGCACAATTACCCCAGGTAATGTTGTTGAAGTGATGCTGACAAGTGAAGCTGCTTGGAACGCCATAGACAGATTTGCGAGAGACGTTTTAATGGACCTGCGTTCTATAGAGAGAGAAAGGGCGAATGGGACTTCGCCCATTTAAAAGATAAGTAAAATGTTTATGATTTATAACATTGTTTATAACAAGTTAAGAATTGTAACATTCTAGATCCTCCCCCCACGAAGTAATGCCTAGCGGCGGTTTCCGTGGGGACCAGAGGCAGGGGCAAAGCGGAGGTTTTAGTCGGTATTATACCAGGGCGGTATCGAGTCCGACATACCCAGACAGAAGACCGGTCTGGGATGCATAAAAGCATTTCCTTCGCTATACAAAAAAAAAAAAAAAAAAAAAACTCATACACACATCCATTTTTTCTAAGGTATGCTAAAATGTTCAGAAACCTTTAAAACATAAAGATATATGATTTTCATTTTCAATTTTTTTCGAATACTATAACTTACCCTGTGGGTAGTTAAAAATAAGAGATATTTCAAATCTAAACCTAGAACTAGATGTTACAGCTTTATACCAAAAATTTCAACTACCATACTAGTATATTTCCCCGACGATCTATTATAAACATTTTGGACCTCGTGTGGCTTTTATCCAATACGAATAACAAACTTTCACCATGACATTCACTATAATCTATTTTAAAGCCGTACATTATATACATAAAATTCTATCAGTTAATCCGATATTGTGGTAATACTCACGCAAAAACATCAATAATTGACTGTGTAATCAAATTAATATCACTGCACTGTTAAAATGGATCAGATTTGTGACTATTTCATATTGTTTTGCACAACAAAAAAGCAATCAAATAAACAAAGTATTGTTGGAATACGAGAAGGGTATAATAACAAGGGTTGTTAAAATTTCTCAATATAAAGAACAAAAAAAGTAGGGTAGAGCGGAGCACAAAGGTCCATTTTGATTTTCAGTAATTTTATTGTCTAAACCAAATGAAGTACATCACAACAAATGATACGTATCAAACAAACAACTATATTCAGACACCGATTCTGCCGTGAATTAGACCAGTGATATGGAAGGTTATGTTATGTAGCTGTTTTCATACAAAATGCTACTAAAAACGTTTTAGATAAAAACCTAACCCAAAATACACAAACCACATCCTTCAATCATTACAATTCAAATGTTTTTTAGATCACAACTATAAACACAAACACAAATATAAAAAAACTGAATATTTCTTAACTAGTTTTGAGTAATTATGGCTTGATAACATATGAGTGAAGTTGCATTTTATGTGCAAAACCCTTGATTGCACAGCAAATATATAGCATTTTGATAGTATTCAGTAGCATTTTGTATGAAAACTGAAACGTAACATAGCCTTGTCATAACATGGATCTATTCTATCTACGGCAAAATCGGCCTATCAGTGAAAATATTAATACCTAATAATAATAATAGAGAAAGGTTTTTAATTGTTAGCTATATTCTGGTGAGTAAAAATGGCAAGCAATCGGGCAAACAGATACGATACCTTATTCTAAATTTTAAAGAAATTTTACAAAATAATAGCTAAATTATTTAACCAATGCAAATAATATTTTTATGGAAAATTTTGTGAGAAATATTTATCGTCAATGAACTAATAATTTAATTTATATCTTGTAAAAATATTCTTATTTTTATAGCTTTGCAAGTGTGAAGGATTAGTTGGTCTTTTTTACCCCACCCACATAAGCCACTTTTATAGAGTTTAATATAAAAAACTGTTGAATATAACTTAAAAATAACAATACATCTTATAAAACAATTATATAACGTATACTTAAACATTATATTCAGGTATCATGAACTACTAAATGTTAAATGAAAAAGCTCAGATCCAAAAATACTATTGAATGTCAAATAAAACAGTTCAAAAACAAAAATTAAGCCTATGAAACGAAATACTTTTGTAATAAGTATTCATACATGGCGATTTATCTCCTGATAGCGACGTCATAAGAATTAAGATGATTGTTCATTATACGTCCTTTGCCTTATACTTTAAAATATTATCGTTAAAACATTCTATACCTTAATTGTTTTTGAGATTATGATGGTTGACATTTTTACCCGCAGATCTTTAAGCCCCGCTCTACACT